TGCTGCTGAACGTCTGGGAGATGCTCCACCTGGGCTTCGGCACCATCCGGGACATGCTGAACAGCAGGAGGAAGGAGCTGGTGGAGCCCGGTCCCTTCAGTTACCCCTTCACCTGGAACACGCCGTCGGCGCCGCCGGGGTACAACATCGCGCTGAGGCCGGAGCAGGTGCCGTGCACGGAGCTGTCCAACGCCAGGATGGCCTACAGGCAGAACAAAGCCAACATAGCCCAGGAGCAGCAGTACGGCAGCACCGAGGGCAACATTCCCACCGACCTGGAGATCCTGCAGAGGGAGATCAAAGTGGCTCAGGACCGCCTGGACCTCGCCATCCAGGCCTACAACAACCAAAACAACCCCGGCGGCTCCAGAGGGAAGAAGCCCAAAGCAGGCTCGAACAAGAGCAGTGGCAGCAGCAAGTCGGGGGACGGCAAGAACTCTGTCTGGATTTAGTGCTGGCTGTTTTGGCTCCTGGCCTGTGCTTAGTGGCTGCCAGTGAGGAAACCTTGGGCTCTGCTGACTTTCAGGGATAGCGTTGGCTAGTGATTCAGCCCGTCAAGGGGCTTAGAGCAGGTCCTAGGACTCTAGAGCTTTATTCTTTTGTCTTCCAAGTCAGGAGACAAATAGGCCTATTGAATTCATTCTCTTGGATCAGTTTATGCTGTATGTACAGTACTACAATTTCTTATGCACAACTCTTTTTGTATTGGTACACTGGGTCTGAGGTTCCACTTTTTATATCCAGGAGGACAAAGCCATGGGTAGCCCTTAGCATTTTGTTAATTTCCTGACTGTTGTCTGCAGTTCTGTCCTTGTCCTTCCTTGTTTTCCAAGTTAAACTTTTTACAAATAAAAACTTTTCTATGCAGCATCTCCGAAGTTCTTTGAACACACACAGAGCAGTCTGTGCACTGATGGGGCAAGTTGCTGAGGGGAGAGAGGTTTGGGAGTATCTGTCAATGGTGCTCCTGACTCTGTGCAGGCTGGAAGTGTCATGCCACAGCTCCTGTGTCCTGTGGGCTCTTCCTTCCTATGGAAGATGACTTACAGGAGAAGTGTGTGTGTGTGAGAGAGAGCAAAGTGCAGCCCTGAGGAGCAGAGGGCTCAGCCCTCCCTGCAGGCTTTGTGCAACAGGAGGGAAGAGACTTCAGACTCCTGAAAAAAAAATCACAAGAAAAGTAAATACCAGTAAAAAATGGAAATCAGGCACTGAGATATTGCCCAGGGAGGTGGTGGAGTCACTACCCCTGGAGGTGTCTAAGAGGTCTCTGGACCTGGCACTGGGTGATGTGGTTTGGAGGTTACAGCAGAGACAGGTTAATGGTTGGACTGGATAATTTTAGAGGTCTCCTCCAACCTGGGTGGTTCCCTGAAATAGAAATTCCTGGGTTCAGTAATTCCACACGTTTCTGTGATGGGCATGGGCAGAGCAGCTTGAGGCCTGTTGTTGCCTGACACCTGCTCCCCCAGGGCAGGCAGAGGTGCCTTTTGGGGAGGATTCCTGTCCTTCCCACACTAGTCCAGTGACACTCAGGGGAGAGCCTCCCTCTCCCTGCAGCCAGCACACATGAGCACGTGGGGAGAGGTTTCCACAGCCCTTCCCGAATCTCAGAGGTTTCTGCCTTATTCCAGACCCTCTTCCTCCCTCCCTATCCGAGGGGTTGAGCTCAGTGTGTACAACTGAGCTTTCTGCCTGAGCCCAGTGGATGTGGCATTCTGTGGGGTTGGCATTAAACTGTGTTGGTCATGAGCAGAAGGGAGTGCAGGACTGGCTGCCTTCGGCTCTGTCTTTCTGGCAAGGAGCCACGCTCGTCTTGGAGAGATGCTGATAAATGTCTCTGCTTTTTGCTGCTATTTATAATGGATTCGGGACCTTGCTCTGCTCCCTTTTTTTGTCATCCTTCCATGCATTTTAACACATTTTGGAGGCCTGTTCCAAGCTAGACTGCTCTGTCTCCAGGCTACCTCAGTCCTGAGTCCCTTGTCACAGCCAGGGCAGGACTCACAGAATCTGTGAGCCCCATCCAACCTGGCCCGGATCACTCCCAGGGCCAGGGAGTCCACAGCCCCTCTGGATAGCCTGTGAGGAGTGAGGCTCCTGTAGGACAGACAAATCCCTGCCCCGTTCCCATCCCACAGAACACCCCTGCAGGCTCTACCTTCAATTCATGCCCAGGGTGCCTGAGCATGTCCTTGCTCTTACCTCTGAGCACTTGCAGCTCGGTTTGTGCTGAGCTGTTTTGGAGTGTTTTCCCTCTGGGACACCCCTGAGCTCTCTGGAGAGCCCTCGGTGTGCCCAGAGCCTGGGTGAGCCCTCTGGAGCCTCGGGAAGGCTGGGAAGTGCCTGCCTGGCCTTTGGCTGCTCCAGGAGCTCAGAGTGCCAGGGGGGTGGCCCTGACACGGGATGGGGGTGGCAGGTGGATGTGGGCAGGGACAGCCCTGGGAGATGAGGAGAGAATGTTCGTTAGTGTTCCCTGGTGAAACAGAAGTGATGTCAGTGTCTGAGGAAGGTGGGTGGAAAAACCTCTGACATTTGGACATTTGGAGAGACATTTGGAGCCTGGAGACAGACAGGGCTGGTGGCTGCAGTGCACTGGTTATCCCCAGCACTGGGGTGCTGCTGTTCATCAGCAGGGTGAGGCTGTGCCTACCCCTCTGCTGCTTTGGGAACAGCCTCTCCCCAGGGACAGCAGGGAAAATCCTCCTCACCGCTCTCCTCCCAAACTGCAGTGATTTACTATTCATGGATTAAAATAAAACAGCAAATTCAGAGTGAGAAGGTCAGAAATGCTTCAGGCATTTCACCACCACTGCTGAACATGTGGGTATGGCCACAGTGCTCTGCCCTTGTGCCATGAGTGTCAGGCAAAGGTCTGGTAGAACTATCCTGTGATGTTGTGTTTGGGCCTGTGCTTGGGTGCAGAAAACTCAGAGTTCAGGGCCCCACGCAGCCCCCACAGGGACTCTGTCACCTTGGGCAGATGTGTGGAGCTGCCTGAGGTGCCCCTGGGTGCTTGCTTGGCCTCCAGCTGCCACTCCAGGAGGGAGCAGAGCATGTCCCAGGGGTGCCCTGGCACATCTGCCACCCCGGGCAATGCCTCGTGTGCCTGAGGAGCTCCCACAGCACCAACGTCTAGACGTGATCCCAACTGAGCCTTTTGCTGATGGCTCCACCTCCTTTGCCTCCGCTCTGAAGTGAGGCTAAAACGACTTACCCCGTCCTGGGTATTGCCAGGATGAGCGAGATGCTCTGTAAGAAGTGATTTTTCTGCTGGCAGCATAGTTTGGGTGCTAAATACTGTTAGCATTAAGTGTTCTGCCTGTGGTTCAGCTGCTTGTATGAAGTGTGTTGTATGGAAGTGTCGAGTTCTTGTAGCTTGTGAACAGTTCCAGAATCCCAGGGACACAACTTGCCAGCTGGGAGGTTCCAGCTGCTCACTGAGACATGCTCAGTGCCTGATCCTGGTGAGTGGAACGTGCTCTGCCTGGTGGCCATGGGAGTTCCTGAAGGACAGATCTGTTTGTGTGTCTGCTGACGCCCTGACTTGGGCTATCACCCCCTGCAGCGGCAGGGGCAGGAGCTCAGGGGCTCCTGCTCCGGGGGACTCACCATTCATGCTCCCTGTATCAGAGGAGACTCCAAATGCCACTTCATCAGTGCTGGGGAAATGACATTTTGTTTTCTGCAGCGTGACATTATCGGTGTTGTGTAAATTCCATGTTGGCGGCTGGGAAAAATGCCTTGGGAGGGGGATTTAAAGGCATCTGGTCAGTGCTCATCACGGCTAGGGAGCTGTTTCTGTGCAAATCCTGGCTTTGCTGTCCTCCTCCCTCTGATTTTTCATGGAACAGGATGTTCTGGTGGCCCTTTGGATGTGGATCTGCTGCTTCCCTGGAGCAGAGCCACATCCCTGAGGCTGCAGCCACACTGACCTGCCTGTTCTGACAGTCCTTGTCTGGGTGTCTGAGCCTGGACTCCCTCGGGGTGAGGGGCAGGAGCTGTGAACCCTTCCCTGTGCAGGTGCTGGGCCAAGGGATGAAGGGACACACTCCTGAGTGTCACCTGGAATGGGCTTTGCCAGGAGGTTCCTCTTGGAATTCCAGTGGCAGTGGAGGTCCCAGTCCCTGGGAATGGATGAGGTTCCTTCCGTCAGCAAACTGTGAGTTAGCTCTGCTGTGGCTCTTGGGGAGCTCTTGCCTTGCCCTTCTTTAAAGACATACTGTGACTGAAAGGAGTTACTTCTGGTTTTTCACCTCTATTTCTTATCCCTAGAAAATCAGTGTTCCCATTTACAAATGTTTGCCAAAATTCCTCTGACCATTCATCATAGTCCATTCCCGTTCGACCTGTCTGGCTGCTCCTGGTCCACCTGGAGCTGAAGTCACCTCTACTGCAGAAGTTCAGCGTGGCTGGAGACACTGACACTCTCCTTCCTCCCATGCCTGGTTTCTGGAACACCCTGTGGAGTGACAGCACTCTGCGAGGCACGAGAGCCTGAATAGCCTCTTCTCTGGGCAGGAGTTCTTGTTTCCAGCTGGAGCCTAAATAGCAAAATTCCCATCTTGGGTGAGACAAGTTGGGATCTGCTTCCACCTGAGGTGTGTGTGCTCCTCCTGCAGAGCTTCTCCATGGTGACAAAAACGTGAATTTCCATAAAATCTCCATGTATTAAATAATATCCCTGACTTGGAGAGGCACAGCAAGGATGATCCTGTCCTGCTCTATCACAGCTCATGCTGTGTGCTAGGGAGTCCTCTCCCTCTCCCTCTCCCTCT